TTATTCCAAAATGGATTAAATTCATTACTTTATTCAAAATTCTACAAACAATACCCCATAATGACAAAGTGAAAGAAGTTTGTTTGAAATATTTGCAAATGTATTAAAAATAAAACAACAGCAACAAAAAATTACATGTACATAAGTATTCACAGCCTTTGCTCAATACTTTGTTGAAGCACCTTTGGCACCAATTACAGCCTCAAGTCTTTTTGAATATGATGCTACAAGCACACCTATTTTTGGGCAGTTTCTCCCATTCTTCGTGCAGTACCTCTCAAGCTCCATCAGGTTGGATGGGGAGCGTCGGTGCACAGCCATTTTCAGATCTTTCAGATCTGTCATGTGCCTTTTACTGAGGAGTGGTTTTCACCATACAGGCCTGATTGGTGGAGTGCTGCAGAGATGGTTGTTCTTCTGGAAGGTTCTCCTCCCTCCACTGAGAAACGCTGGAGCTCTTTCAGAGTGACCGTCGGGTTGTTGGTCACCTCCCTGACTACCCCAACCCACAGGTGGACTCCAGTCAAGTTGTAGAAACATCACAAGGATGATCAGTGGAAACAGGATGCACCTGAGCTCAATTTTGAGTGGCATGGCAAAGGCTGTGAATACTTATGTACATGTGGTGGAGTGCTGCAGAGATGGTTGTTCTTCTGGAAGGTTCTCCTCCCTCCACTGAGAAACGCTGGAGCTCTTTCAGAGTGACCGTCGGGTTGTTGGTCACCTCCCTGACTACCCCAACCCACAGGTGGACTCCAGTCAAGTTGTAGAAACATCACAAGGATGATCAGTGGAAACAGGATGCACCTGAGCTCAATTTTGAGTGGCATGGCAAAGGCTGTGAATACTTATGTACATGTTTTTAATAAATTTGCAAAGATTTCAAACAAACTTCTTTCACGTTGTCGTTATGGGGTATTGTTTGTAGAATTTTGAGGAAAATCATGAATTTAATCAATTTTGGAATAAGGCTATAACATGGTCCATTTTGAGCATTCTGTTGACAATAAGTAACTTTGCACCTATATGTCAACAAACTCTCTTTAGAGTATTAGTAGACTACCTGATTAAAATCTGCGAAGTCTTTATTGTGATGGTCTCCCAACGGACATAAGTAAGAACTATAAGTAACTTTGCAAGTACATTTCAACTTATTCTAACCCTACCAGACTACTAATACTGTACTAATATTCTACTGAGAGTTAGTAGATATGTAGGTGCAATATTATTTACTAAGGGACCATCAAAATAAAGTGAAACCGAAAATGGACATCAGTCACTTATTAGAGAAAGCTGACACTCATCATGATTTTTCTGCCTCTGTCACATGCACAAATTTCTAAATGTAGTTGACTGATTTTTTAACATCATTTAATTATATAAAATTGATAATTTCAAATAGAATTTTGTTTTCAATTGATCTCTTGCATGTGTCCTATGTTTTTACTTAGTCAAGATGAGCTATGCTACATTATGTTGAAGATTCTCATTTATCGGCATATGCCGGCAGTAAATGTGTTTGCTTTTAATAAACAAAGTTGTTGCTCAAGCAGAAACATTTTCTGATACTTTTCATTTTTGTAGGCTGGTACCAGCATGACCTCTTTACTGCATGAGTCCATGAAAGGGTTCCTGAAGTCAGCTCAGCTGGTTTCCATTGGTTCACTTTGACATGGAGCCCAGTATGTAATTGTGGTGAAGAATAATTATTTTGCCCTTAGTCTCAGTCTGTCAACTATCATTGAGATTTTGCCTGTCTGTCTTTTGACCAGGTTTTTGATTGAATTAATTGTTTTAAGGTCAGCAGAATGCATTAGATCAATGCATGAACTGTATGTGAGTGATGGTTATTTATATGTTTTGAGCATATTTTCAAGTTAGTTTTAAGTATTTTTCAGTTTGTTAGAACATGAGTACATGAGAACAATTTGAGAACTTGTTGGTAATTTACATGCTGTGAACTTGCAGACAACATCTATTTGACAGTGATTAATGGATAAATTGCATTTATCCAAGCACTTTAACATGCTAATTTTGACAGCACTAATTTTAACGCTTGTGCGTCAATGTAAAAAAATTAATTAAATAAAATAAAAATAAAAGGCAAATTTGTCCTCTAAGGTCCATAGAGGACAAAAAAATCTCTGTCAGAAACGGTCATAAAAATATTAGTCTATATATTAATATTTTTTTCCCACTTTCACTGGCTTCATTTATTTGTTTGTTCATTCATTCGTTCGATGTCATAACAGAGGGCCGTTTGATATCCTCCTGAGACCCAGCTATGGAGTTTTTGTCTCTGTAGTGGACATTATATTTTAGTGAATTTCTCGGAGACCTCACATGTCACAGTTTTAAGTCTGGATGTCCTGTACAGAGCACATTCAGAGATACCAAATGTTTGGAAGTTTCTCCATGACCACTCCCTCTGCTTGTTTTTTTTTTTAAATGGCTGACATTAATTTAGTGATAAAATTGTACATCCTTATGGAAATATAATTTAATCAGATTTATCATTTAAATCTGATTAATTTTCAAATTGTTTGTCATAAATCAACATCTCAGGAAAATGTTATGGGGTTTCAAACCAAAATATGACTTCCTGTTATGAAACAGGATATTGATTTCATACATGTCCACTGTAGAGGTCACCAGGACTAAAAGCATGTTTATTATGCATTTTGGGAGACACAAGAAATGAATAGGAAAATAAATTATCTATCAATATTCTCATGAAATATTAGATATTATTATGAAAATCTGGCCAATTATTACTCCCATTATTACACTTCTTTTTTCAACATGCTGTCCCAACAGCACATTAATATGCAAATTAGCTAGTGTTTAGATAACATTGTGTTTAATGGGAAAACCAGTTTATGGAAATTTTACACACATATTGCATAATGTAAAATGGTATATCAAATCATTTTGTTATATATTTTATAACATAGTTGAGAACCATCCTTAAACAAAGTTAGGTATAAAAAATCCTGAAACCTAAAAATTGATTGGTGATTTAAAAAAAATTCCCATTGTTTTTGCCTTTTCATGTCTACTCTTGTCATTTTATTTTTAGAAAAACTGAGTCCTGGTGTCCTCTACAGAGGACATAGCATAACATATAAATAATGCATTTTTCTTATGCTCTAAACCAGTGTTTCCCAACCTTTTTTTAGTCGCGGCACCCTTTGGAAATTTTAACAAACTTGT